TAGCATCAAACATAGAGCACGGATAATGTTTTGGTCTTTAAAACACAATTTCGGTCTTTAATTCACAATTTCCTCACCTAAAAACAGCCACCGAACACGTTTGCAAACTTGATAATGAGTCGGAATGGTTAATAAAATGACAAGATAAATCGACGTGTCAGCAACCTTTTTATAAAAATACTGCCATTTATTTGTGAATTAACAGTCAAAGAGATTTACGAAGTTTAGTTAAAGTACGAAATGAAGAACTTCGACACTAAAATAGAATCGCCTGACAAGCCATAGAAATGTAAGTTTGGACACATTTTGCGTCTTTCTACCCAATACAACAATGTTGATGTACATGTATCCAAAATTTGCTGGAATATTTATGTCCTTTTATCTGGTGGCGTTAATATGTTTATAATGGTTGTTTTCCTGAGTGAAATATCGGCGAAGTAATAAATCAAGTTTTCTTCTGTCAGAAGTTAGTCTAGGTACCAGTACGGGGGGAATATTGAATAATCGACCTCGAAGAGGGTGACCGGTTTCTTGATATTAAAAAAATCTTCATCACTTTAAATTGTGAACCCGATGTTTTATAGACCTTCCCATTGATGTTAGACTGTGGATAAAGTCACGAAATCTCTCTTGCACAAATTTGTCAGTTACTTGTAAATAAATAGTTTTGGTAAAATCTGATGGTTGACTTGGAAATTCTGTAGTAGGAACTACCCCACCCATGACTGCAGAATCAATATGCGTATGCACTGACATGCCTAGTCATTTTAATATGCGAACATCCTTACATGTAGGTACTACAGATTTACACGAATGAATATTCAAATTTATTCAAATGATGCCCTCGTTGATAGTGGGTTACAATAGAATATAGAGGGGAATGTGTGGGTAGGTTTTTTTGTTTTTTTAGCAATCTCATGTAGTGTGGATTCAAATTATTCAGTTCATGGCAACAACTTAGAGTCAAAAACTTCAGAAAAATAAATGAACAGGAAAATTTTATTTAATATAAAAGCAAGACCATTGCGACTCAGATATGTATTCTGGTTTAAAGAAGAGTATATGCCTGTGAGTGTTTTTTAAAGTTCAAAGGTTATTCACCCAATCAAAAATATTTTACATGGGATGCATTTAAAATAATATATACATATACATATTTATACATTTCAAACAAACTGGTCAGAGGTACATAACAATTCATATACTAGTATGTCCTTAGATAAAAAAAAAAAAATTGTTATGATTAACAAAGGAGGAAATTTAAATTTTTTTTCATCACATTTAAACTGATTTTTTAGCAAAAAAGTGCAGAGTATTTGATTTGCATCCGAAATAAACTTGTTCCATCATTATAAACATGAAAATAAATCTAAATCTAGGTCTGATATTTCCTTTGATCATGCATGTTTACAATTTTCCACATAGACGTTCCAAATCTATGGACCTTAAGCATCAGAGAGAAATCGAAATATTTAATACTTCTCATTGCCTTCTGACTCATGTACATAAAATACTAGTACGATAAAAAGTGCTTTGTTTTGAAATAAACGGTTCGATATGAAGGAGCACGATTTGTCTTGTGGTCCCAATCAAGTCTCCGCACCATACCTTGCAGTCAAAGAGGCAATGGTATGTTTGTATAATAGGTTTATGTAGGTGTATTACCTCTATCTCAGGGCTAAATATCTATTATACATTCTGAATTCCTGGTCTCAGGTCGTTATTATTTGTTTTATTTCCTACAAGACATGGTGATTTACATACAAAGTTTCACTTAACATAGATAATACATTATACCAATATGTTATCGCCAATTGGTTCAAGTCTATCGCTTCTGTCCAGTTTTCACCCTCGGTATAATGGCTCCTTGAACTAATTCTTCTTGTCGCTGAGTTGTCTGACTGATACATCGTTCTGAATGCCCACATCATGTGGTTGTTCTCTAGTTTCCAGAGTTGATGGTGTCATGTGGGCCTGCGGAGGAATATGTAAAAATAATAATGAAGAATATTTTAACATCTAATAATATTCTCGGAAGGCAGATGAAAAAAAAAATACTAGTATTATAAAGTCAAAGGGAACATAGGGGACAATTGAGATTTACATATCTAATTCACTGATAATTTGTAATTCAAGTTTTTATTGCAGATTCATAAATTCCCTTTGTGAAAGTCACAATGAGATCAGAAGTGAACTCGTCTAAATTTTATGACCTCGAGGCCTGATGCATTCATGTTTGTTTTTGGCAAGTCCATGCAAAGCAAGAACAACGACCGATCTTTATGGACATAAATTGTTGCACTTGACTATATAGTGTCTGTTTATACTAGTAGTCATAATTGTGAAATAGAGAGTTTTTTTTTCAGAATTTGAAGCTTGGTAAACCAATTATACGAGCACTGGTGATTTGGTTTAGTTTCACCAAGACTGACTTTCAGTATTAACTTGCAGGTAAAGCGTTTCCAGTTGGAACTGGTCTTTTTAGCTCACCTGAGCCGAAGGCCTAAGTAAGCTTTTCTGATCAAAATTTGTCCGTTGTCCGCCGTCGTCGTTGTCGTCGTAAACTTTTCACATTTTTATCTTCTTCTCAAGAACCACAGGGCCAATTTCAACCAAACTTGCCACAAAGTATCCTTGGGTGAAGTTGATTCAAGTTTGTTCAAATGAAGGGCCACACTCTCATTCAAGGGGAGATAATTATGAATTAGTGAAAAATTAAGGGCATCTTTTTAAAATCTTCTTCTCAAGAATCACTGGGCCAGGAAATATGAAACTCATGTGGAATTATCCTCATGTAGTGTAGAATTAAATTTGTTCAAATCATGACCCCCAAGGGTAGGGCGGGGCCACAATGGCTGATCCAAGTTTTGGACAGAAATATATAGGAAAAATCTTTTAAAATCTTCTTCTCAAGAACCAGAGGGCCAGGAAAGCTGAAACTTATGTGGAAGCATCCTGGAGTAGTGTAGATTCTACATTGTTAAAATCATGACCCCCCGGGGGTAGAGCGGGGCCATAATAGGGAATCCAAGATTAACATTGAAATATACAGTGTATAGGAAAAATCTTTTAAAATCTTCTTCTCAAGAACCAGTGGGCCAGGAAAGCTTTAAACTTTAAATGTAACATTCTAACAGTTAAGAGGGTTTTCCACATAATAAAATTGTTACATTAATAAAATTTTAATGGTACATTTCAGTTTTCTCATTAATCATAAAAACATCACACAGAATTTCCAAAAGAATTAACATTGTTTCTACCAAACTTTAAAAAAAATTGTTTAAAATTGGATTTCACCAAACAACAGAATTTAAGATTCTCTTTAAAAAAAATTGTTTAAATGGAGGTGGACTTCATCGGAAAACCATGCAATTGTTAAATTTTTCAGAGTCGGGTCTAATTCAAACCCACTGGGTAAACTCTAAACAACTTCTAATTTTTGTCTCTTTCAAATGCTTCATTACACTTTTCTTATTAGGAATCAATTTGTAATCAAATTTGAGTATTTTATGAATACTCAATACTCAGTATCTTGTTCATGCAGAACCCATCTAAGGAATTTTTGTGAAGTTTCAGTAATAACTTTATCAATGGTATTAATGTTCTCTTTGGTACGGGCATTTCTAGGTCTTCTAATACCCGAATTAGGTCATGTGTCATTTATGGTTCCTTTAACTTCAAACTCCCTCACAAAACTATAAATTGGTATTATGTTGAGCACTTTCATCACATGGTTCTATTGACTAAAGTAGCAGACTTAGACCTAAAGTAAAGTTTTACAATTTCTACCAGCTGTTCACAAAAAGGTTCCATATTAAAAATATGATGACGTCATTAGGACATTATAATTGCCTGACTTCTTAACAGAATTTCCCGAAAGTTTGTCAGATTAAAGTTATGCTAATACACTAGAACTTGACAAATTATCTTTATAAAAGCTTTTGGTTTGATAAAGTTATAGATGATTAAAAGTGTAACATATGTTTTGGGACACCCTGTAGATTCTAAATTATTATTATCAAGATGGGGGGTGATTGCAGGTGGGGGGAGGGGGGGTAGTGGGCCACAATAAATATAAGAAGAGGGGAAATCTGGTAAATAACTGCATCACCAAAGTTACTCAGGTGAGCGATGTGGCCCATGGACCTCTTGTTCTTCAAGGCACAAAAGAGGATTTTACTTATGTATTAAAGATTAGAATTATTTAGATTGAAATTTTTGTCATTTGTTAGTTTGGTCCGATAAAGTATTAATTACCTTTGTAAAAAAAAAAATAAGATATTGTTTTTTGTAGGAAAAATTGTCATCAAAACAAGTTTTAATAACCAAGAAACACATGGGTCATAGAAAGTCTAATGGCCTCTTCGTTGCGTTATCTTTTAGAGAAGGTTGGATGATCGTCGTGTGTTCAAAAGGACAGGATTATCTAACTGTCTGATTGAGTGATTCTGGAATGGACGACACTCCAAGAGTCTTCGACATTTTCAGGCCAAGAGAAAACAATTTAATAGCTTCCTAGACATTTTTTCAACTATTTTGTATCAAATATTGAATATAGATAAGACTATTCGGGTGAAAATTGGTTTGCAGTAATATTCTATAATGTGCCGAAAGTAATGAGACTTTCGATAAAAAGGAGCGAGCCCAGTTCTTTGAACCTGATTTCAGGTATTTTGGCATCGAATAAAACCCAACAATCCGTGCGTCATTTTTTCTAATCGTTAAATAGACTGTAAAGCTGAAATCTTTGGATATCGTAATTAGGAAATCATTTACTGCTGTACAGCTCCAAAACAAAAATGTCACGGAGAAGGTTAGAGTTTCCACATTAAAGGAAACGACGATGTAAAAAAGCTCTGCCTCTTTCGACCTGGACCATTTTTCTAACGGAGAAGAATAGTAGGGTTATGATTGTCAAGGCGCTTAATGAAAATTAACCATTATCTGGGTTGATCAGTAGCGCTCTATCACTTTATCTGTAATTATGAATTTCCGAGTAGCCGCTGGCCCCTAGTTAGATAAATACCGTCCTACTGTTCTCGTTCTTTATTTCATTAAATAGTTTTACACGACCCGTCACCGAATACTGCAACCAAATTATCCAAATTACGTGTTAAATATATCTGAAAAAAGTATTCACCCGATTATCCTGCTGGCATCACTTAGATTATGAAAAGACCTAAGATTTCTGTAGCTTAATATAATTGATACCCTTTTGAAGTCCTTGAGAAAAATAACTTTCTAACTGTTATCGATCAAGTGGGTATAATATGACGAGGCATCCTTGATTGCAGGTATAGAGTACGAGAAGTTTCTGAAGACCTGAGCTTTATGAATACCGAATCGTCGTCAAAGAAATGATGGCGAGACAGAAGAACAATTTCTTGAAGTGGACGGTGAATGAAATCGTTGTTTTTCTTCTTTCTCTGGAATTCAGCAAGATTGTGATCGGTAAGTTATCTTTATCAATTACTCAAAAAAAGGTCAAGATTATTTTAATACAGACTGCACATTCTTCAAGTTTTTAAAAATTCTGTTCTGTGTTAATTTAATCATTTAAGAACATTAACGGTAATTAGTTCCTCATATTTTTTCTTCTTAAATACACACATTTGCTTGATCATTGCAGAAATGGTCATGTATTCTCAAACTGAACAAAACTTTAATAATTTGAAATCACATGTTTATTATTATTATTTTTATTTCTGAAAATGTTTTTGCTGTTTTGAAATGCCTTTCACATTTCTTTTACAGATTAAGTTATTTTCATATTTTATATTTAAATCATAAACTCTAGCCAAATCAAAGTGAATATTATTGCGACAAGAATAACTTTAAAATGCTTTGATTCTCAGTTCTCCCTTTATTTGTTATTCTTTTTAATTATCAAAGATGATAATCATCTGCGATAAACAGAAAAAATACAAAAAATCAAAAAGCATCGTCTGTTAAAACTTATCAATTAATAATTTATACAAAATAGTTTTGAAAAAAAAAATCTTGTATGCATCAATCATTTCGGATGTTATCTTTTAATGATAAATTGCATACCTAACTAACAAGGTTGCTTTGAATATTTTTATTCACAACTTTTATTTTAAGACAAGTGATAATATTTAATAAAATTCATATAAAGTCTGCAGACCTAGAACAAACTATCCATTTACTCAGACAAATGAATCCATTTAATTCTTTTGAACACATGTATATCTAATGTCAACGAGAGGAAAATATGTGAATACATGTATTTTGCAAAATATCTTTAATCAATTGTTAATGTTTGAAGCTTTAGAAATTAAAAGTACCGAATGCATATGCCCACTACCCCTTAGAACTTAATATTATTAATAAAATTAAATTAAATATGAACACTTTTTAAAGGATATTGCATGATTTAGTACTTGACTTTTTGTCTTCAGGAAAGTGAACGATGAATTTTCAACAGGTAATATATTCCTGATGATTTTATTTATATATAAGGAAAAAACTGAATATCATTATTCTCTGTTTGATGGAATTATTATGTATTATAATTAACTGTGACTAATATCGAATAGTACACAAAATAAAAAAAAAATAATGAACAGATAATTTTAGAGTATTTTAAGTTACAAATTTCTTGGTGTACATTTGAGACATTTTTTTTAAATACTCGTGATTTGAAAGCCTTACCAAGACAATGGGGGACTGAGTACAAAAAATACTTCCAATTATTTTCTAGAAGCAAAATCAAGTGAATCTTTTAAGTGAGGCTTCGTTACATTATAACCTGACATGACATAAGAGGTGGGCAGATTTGACGAGGAGGAAACGAGCGCTTAAGGATACATCAGATGATAAAAATGATGACATTTATTACATAATTTTAATGAAGACAATGGTTATTTCCGCAGTATTTCTACAACACCCAACTTTTATACAAGGGATTAATATTCAAAATAATCCTAGGAATTAAAAAAAAAAACTTCAGACAACATGAGTTTATCTGTAGGTGTGATAACCAGTCTAACAAAGCACTAATGTAAATTCTAAAGACAAAAGTCTATAAGAAACAAGATGTAAAGAAATATGGTGAAATAGATAGATCACATTTAATATCATCCATCATGATGTGGTCATGGATTTACCAAAAATGGTTGTGACGAGAATGTATCGATTTTTGCAACTGATGTTCATAGGGATTTTTTCTTGGCCCTGTGAATTTCTGGAAAAACAAAACCTCTTAATTTTAGTTGAATATACCAGGTACATTAAATTTTATTAGGACTATCTATTTTTAAATGACGTGGTTTTCTCGGTTGTCCATGTATTATGACACCTTGAGTTGCGGCATTCTCATCGAGTTTGAATTATAAAAAAAAAAACAACAAAAATTTCATCTCTTTTTCTTTTATTTTTTGCAAAATTTGCACAGAAACCAACTCCTGATCCAAAGGTTCAATTTTATGTAATGAGGGAACTGTAGATTATAATCCATATTTTATTTTTTTGGGTCAAGGGTGGCCTCATCATTTAATTAACTGTTGTTCAAATAGACAAATATTTATCAAAATTTAAGAACGTTGCAATTTCACGAAGTCTATATTTTAAACATGGAATCTCAGATATAATATGAAAACTACATTCTACACCGTGCCATAGCGTTACTATGATGCAATTATTCCGTAACGTATGATGAAATGATTCCTTATGGAGTTTTAACATGGAGATTTGACCAAGGTTTAAAATGTCTTGCAAAATAGCCCAAATTGTGTTAGCCATTGCATTATAGGAATGACACAGGCATCTGTTGGCATAACGGACAATGTCCAGTGATGCGCCGTTTTCTTAAACACTTTGCACTTTCATAATGAAGAAGCTTAAAAGTTCGATTAAATCATAGAACTTTTTTTCCCAATCAAGTTACAAGATCAGCTACAAATCATTAAAAATGAAAATATTTATTTAATCATAACGTGGGTTTTTAGAAGTAACGTATGATGCAACGATTCCCATCATTAGTAACGTGCGATGCAAGTATTCTTTAACAATCGTATTATTAGACCAATGTGTTGGATTTCTTTACTAGGACACGTTTCAAAGTAGGGTAATAAAATTATTCATTGCTTTCTTTGTATCACAGAATCCCAAATGGTTAAGAAAAAAGCAAAACTTGACTATAGAACGGCTAAAAGAAAAAAAGCACAGCAAGAATAAAGTCATTTCATCCCCTTACCCAACTCCGAAAAGAAGAAAATTTTCTATACCCCATTTATATCCAAAAATCGACATGTTGATACCCCAAATAGAAACACTGTAAAAACTCCATAAGGAATCCTTTCATTATACGTTACGGAATAATTGCATCATGGGAACGGTATGGCACGGTGGTAAAGGCATAGCAGGGAGAGGGCTAAAATAGACTTTGCCTGTTGTCCAAGCCCAGTTCACTTTTATTTGTGAATAAAATTTTGTATAGATAAAAAAAGAAACTGTGATTAGGGTCTATCGTTTGATTTTGCCAGTTTTCCCTAACCCGCGAGCTGAGGTATTATTGCATGTATTCAGAGAACACTTAATTTTATGTATTTGTTGCCAAGTTTGATGATTCATTACGCTCTCCCAAAATTATTTTTAAATTAAAGTTTTCTATTTGAATTTATCGTACATAACTAGGCAGTCGGATTCGTAACAAATTATTGGGGGTGGGGGTGTATGCCAAGGTGTGTCCTTGTTCAGTCTTGGTGCCCTAGGTAGAGTCCAACTGAGATAGGCGCTTGGTTACAGGATAGTGTATTTTGTGGAGTTTTTACAGTGTTTCTGTTTGGGGTATCAACATGTCGATTTTTGGATTTAAATGGGGTAGAAAATTTTCTTCTTTTCGGAGTTGGGTAAGGAGATACTAGTAAAGAAATCCAACACATTGGTCTAATAATACGATCGTTAAAGAATACTTGCATCGCACGTTACTTCTAAAAACCCATGTTAGAAGTGATTAAATAAATATTTTCATCACAATTCTTGAGTGAAATGGAAAATCAACGAATTTTCATGATGGTAAACTTGTAGCTGATCTTGTAACTTGATTGGGAAAAAAAAGTTCTATGATTTAATCGAACTTTTAAGCCTCTTCATTATGAAAGTGCAAAGTGTTTAAGAAAACGGCGCATCACTGGACATTGTCCGTTATGCCAACAGATGCCTGTGTCATTCCTATAATGCAACGGCTAACACAATTTGGGCTATTTTGCGTTTAAGACATACAACTACGACATTAACTTACCTTGGTCAAATCTCCATGTTAAAACTCCATAAGGAATCGTTTCATCATACGTTACGGAATAATTGCATCATAGTAACGCTATGGCACGGTGTTCTACATAACTTCACAATATATTAAATAAAAATGTTTAAAATCTGGTGACGTGGCCGAAAAAAAAACTTTGTAAATACCAACATTAAAAATGTTTTTATTGAAGTTTTTCCGTTATTTTTTGATAATGACAAGGAGCACACGGCGGGTGGGACCGTTCGGCAGGGGATGCTCACCCCTCCATGACACCTGATCCCACCTCTGATGTTTTGGAGGCCCTTGTATGCTCTGCTCCTATTTTGTATTGTTTTGTGGATTTTTTAGCTTGAGTACTGTTCGTTGTCCATGTATTTCACTCGAAGGTATGAAAAATAAAAAGCAGGCACCATCTTGCATCCACAGAATGGTTTTTCAATACTCAACAGTTCGCATTTGGAAACAGTTGTACTGTATTTGGTCCGTTTGCAGGAAATTCGAGATTATATTATTGTCTATCCGCTTTAATCTTTATTTCTTTTGTTGTATGCATTCAAAACATAATAAAATTCATCACCAATTTTAAAAAGATCACATAATGTGTAAGTCCTTTGTTCTTTCTGAATACCATCCCATCTCCCATTTTCAATAGGCAGTTAAAAAGTGCTACATATGAGTCCACATATATTATTTTTTAAATAAAGTTAAAATCTTGGAGGCAAACAAATAATTTTGTTGGTTGAACTATTTCCTGATAAAATTAATATAAATCTCTTTGTTTTTTTTTTTGTTGTTGTCGTCCTTGTTGTTGTTCCTTTTTCTTTCTTTCTTTTTTTTTTTTGAGTTATTTAATATTAACAATATACATCGATTTTAAAAGTGCAGTTTTTCTACTGGAAGTCTAGCAATAATAGAGTATTTGTTAAAATAATTCTTCCCAGGTTAGTTTTCATTTTTAGTGCTTTTTAAAATGTTTGTACAACAGGTGTATATTAAAGGGGCATGGACACAGTTTCAGATAAATTTCAAAATTTATTTTTTTCCCCATTTTTACAAATATTTAACTAGGGTCTTTCTAATGATCATCAAAAATTTGAACATCAGTTGTCGAGATACAAGACAGATTTAGAGCTCCAAACCTTTGTTATAGAAACAAGGTCTGTGTCATGTTTTTGTTTACACAGTTTAATATACTAATATATGTTCGTTCAAAGTGGATAATTTCAAATAAAAGTTAATTTTAAATACGATTCGACAGTTACTATTGACTTGCTGAATTTCAATTTGTTATAAATATGATATTTTCTATATGTAAACAAAAACAAGGCACGAGCCTTGTTTACATTATGAAGAACTTTTAAGTTCTGTATCTTGTTTGTTAATCAACAAATTATGTCCACATTTTTGCTAATCAATAGATGATGCCTTAGGTAGGAATTGTAAGCATTAAAATTGGTTTTAAAAATTTAGTTGAAACTGTGTCCATGCTCCTTTAATCATTAAATGACCTACATATTTCTGTTAAACAAAGAAACTGATGTAGTTTGCCTTGAAGTTTAATGATAAAAGATACAAATAACAAATTCAATTTTGAAATAATTTGACATTAAAAGTTAGATTACGCACTGATCAGATTTCTAAATTACGTATATGCACATGTATAAATTTGCATTCATAATTTGATACAGATTCATGGGAGAAAAGTCGACTCAGCTTAGACACAAAATATTTTTTTATCACCTAACTATAAAATTACTATTAAATTGCAATTTTAAATGAGTAACTGAGTAAGATCAGTAGCCGAGCGATAATCGAGTACTCGAATACTCCTTGACAACGCGACACCCCCAGTTGCTAGGCACTGTGCCCTTAGTAAGTCTATCATAAGCACTGATACTCCACACTGTAACATGAACGTTTTTAAACAAGTATTTTTTTTTCTTTTATCATATCTATTAGAACAAGTATTTCATTTTTTGTCAACGCAATTTATCCTTTTGTTCAGCAAAAGAAACCCTGCCTTCAAAAGTCTGAATGCAATGCCTGAAATATTTCAAGAAGAATAAATAGGATCCACATTAAAATTAACTTATAAAAACTCGGTTGGACGCGGGCAGCATTAATAATTTTCAGGTAATATTTCAACTAATTGAAACTGTTATCAATGACCCTTCGTTATAGGTATTGTTCCTCCTGGCGGAATTGAGGGGTTATGGATTACAGATGTAAGTCTTAACGACAAAGTGAAGGACGACACATATTTATGGATGCGGGCACCTGTCAGTAGGATGCAGTGTGCACTAGAGTGTACAGCAGATACGCGCTGTCTATCCCATTTTTACAAGGAAACCAGCGCCACCTGCATTGCACAAGATGAAAAACTGGACTCCATGACCGTTCGAAACTCCTCTGGATTCCTAGCGTATGGATTCCAAAACCCACGTACGATGCTAATATCAATCAAAACGCAGATGAAATTAAAATACGTACTAGATAGCAGTGAAGAAATTTAGAGTCTCTATAACAACTATTATATGCATAATTTTCTATATGAAGTACTATTTAAACTAGGCTAATGATAGCATATGGCTGTGAATAGATAAAATTAATCTGACTTTTGGCCTCACTGTTAAAAAGTTTTAAAAGAAAATCATTCTTGGCTATAATTAAATATTTGATCTCCGTATTTTAGCGGAATGCAGTGCTCCTTTTCTGTTCGACCGTCCTGCCAATTTGTGTTTCTGGAGATCGGACGTAAAAGGCAACAGATCGACAGCACAGCAAGTGTGTGCTGCATATGGCGGTTCATTGGTTACCATAGACACGGTTGCCAAGAGAAGTGCCGTGTTGTCATATCCCGATTTTGGTAAAGTATTGAGAAAAAACCTGAATAGTAACTGTTTCTATGATTATTCATTGTATTAACTGGAGTTGAACTAAAAAATCTTTCACACACTGATTTTACAGTGATTTTCATTTTAGCTATTACACCTACAGGGTGGGCACCATCCTTCCTGATCGACGGAAGTGACGATGAACAAGAAATGGATTTCCGGTTCAAGGATGGAAGCCCGATTCCTTCGACCTTTTGGTCGAGTGGCTATCCAAAGAATGACACATCAGAAAATTGTATTCATATTCCAACTTATGATCCCAACGGGCTTTTTATACACTACGAGTGTGATAATAGTAATTATTACTTTGTCTGTCAAAAGCCCTAAAGAAAAGGAAATATTCAAAGAATATATACAAAGAAAATTCAATGAGAACCAGCAGTGTTGCATTGCCATAACTTTTTGTTTAGCCATTATGGTTTGTATCATCGTTACTTAGGAATTTTCTCAAACTTTGTCATTAAATTATGATGTGATATGATGTTGAAGCAGTTTTATACAAGAGTCCTTTAATTTTCAGTGATATTGCAATTTTGTATATTTACAATGCTCGATGTCAGTTGCTGTTTATATAGTTAAAAAACATTGACTGCAAAGTTTTTAAGTTTGTTGGTTATGTTGAAAGTTTTGAAATTAATGTTCACCCATACTGTAAATTTACTTCATATGCTATTTTATGGAGAATAATACTCTAAAAATCAGACCCAAATGAAGTGTTGTTGTCATCATTTTTTTTTCTTTTTTATACAAAGTTCAATGCCTGATGTTAATTTTATTTATACTTGTAAGATTATATGTTATATGATAAGTGAAAAAATGAGTACACGTCGTGTTTAATATGACTTGTATAATAATTCTGGGAATATGATACCCACAACTATTCCAAGGCATTAGCCATATTTCCAAGACCACTAATCCTTAGAGTTCTGCGAGGCATTTAAATAAACTGACTATAGCTCTATGGAAGGACTACATCGGTAATTCTACCCGAACGTTTCCTTGGTAAGTCTATTCAGTAGATATATTAATAAGGCAAGGCGTGGAGACTTGTCCAATAACAGAGCCAGTCTTGGTCAATTTACAGACAAGATTAGAATTCCTCTGTAAAAATATCTTTAATGTTTTGTTATAAAAAAAAAAGCCATTAATGATGATCTTAATACAGTATGACTTTGAAGCATCGATGTAAATAGGAAATGTTTTGTTTTATATATTATGCAGAAGTCCCCTTCCCACTCCCTAAAATACTCTGCAATTGGACATTTTAAAAATTCGCCCATTAAATAAGAATAGCTCTAATTAAGTCTAAGGAATCGAATGAATAATTGTCAATTAGTCGCTAACCATGCACAAGATGATAGGAACTTTTTTAAAAAAAAAATCTTGATATTTTTAAAGTATATTTTATTCATATTCAAAACAGAAACTAAATTTGACGTTTGTAACATGGTGGTTCTGGTTGAATATTAACTTCTTACGTCGTATACACATATATTTGAGTCTGGCATATTTCTGAATCATTCTTTGTGAACTTGACTTCTAAAACAGTAACTAAAGGTCCCATGCCCTTAAATACTTTCCTATTCATATTTTGGCTCATACAAACAAGTACAAGAATACAATTATCGTGACTGAAATTAATGACTTGTTTGCAAATTTAAAGTTGGATTGTATTTTGAGTTCATAGGAATCCTTACAAACAAAGATACATGTTATTTCCAAAGATACTGGTTGTTTCCATTCTTATGTCGATACGATATATCCCGGTGAGCTTGAGATAAAAGATACCACAGAGTCTAACACATTTGTTTCATATTTGGATATTTTACTTGAAAAAGACGTTAATGGTAATCTAACAACCAAGCTCTATGATAAACGTGATGACTTTAACTTTTCATTCGTCAACTTTCCTTACTTATGCAGCAATATACCTTCATCACCTACATACGGAGTTTATATATCTCAGTTGATTCGATACGCGAGAGCATGCTCTACGTTTGAACAATTTCTAAAACGAGGTAAATTATTGACAAACAAGTTGATGAAACAAGAATATAAGCTGTCTCGTTTTAATTCATCATTTTGTAAGTTCTATGGTCGATACAATAACCTTGTCAGCAAATACAATATATCATCGAGTCAAATGCTAGCTGACGTTTTTCATATTAATTGTTAGACCATTATTTATACACTGAACTGACGATGATTTTTTTCCCGTTATTTTCCGATCATGACAAGGAGCACACGGCGGGTGTGACCGGTCAGCAGGGGATGCTTACTCCTCCATGGCACCTGATCCCACCTCTGATGTTTTGGAGGTCCGTGTTTGCTCTGCTCCAATTTTTTATTGTTTTATGGACTTTTGATCTTGAATACTGTTCGTTATCTTCATATGTTTCATTATAAAACTGAATTTGAATTACTATGCCTATATATTCAGGATTCCTAAACGTCATATTCATAAGAATTCTTACAAATATATACTGTATAATTATACAATGGGTTCCTGTAAATATTCTACCAAGCCCCCCCCCCCCCCTCTTCCTTTTTACTCCTCACTAAATATTCACAGCATTGAAGTGTTTTACAACTTCATTACAATTAGACGTGTAAATCATGTGGATTCTCAGAAATTCCAAGGAAACTTTCAGAAAATTCGAAATCACAAAATTTTACCAAAATCAATAACACCAAATTGTTCCACTTACCCGTTATCCCATCAACCCCCCCCCCCCCCCCCCAGTCCAGACTCTGTGACATCAGTAACAACTGCCTTTTCAATAAAATGGAAATCGTAGATTTACTAACCTTGTCATTAGTCTTTTGCAAAATGATATTAAAAAGATTTTGATTGACAATACAGCTATCTACGTAGTTTTTGGAGACCATGTCTTCCAACGATCTTATAGAATTCCAATGAGTACCGGCTCCTTCCTATTATAAGCAGACTTGTTGTTTCCATATGAAAAAATTTTTGCAAATTTTGAGATCAATTAATTAATTAATACTAGTAAAAATTTTACAGGCGATTGAAAGTTTTACTTAAGTCTAAGTCTGTTTCATGATCTTGGGGTGATATCTTCATCCATCTTATTTTATAGTACGTAATAGTGGTAACATAATTACTCAGTACATGTATTTGTAAGCAGAGAACAACGAAGAGATGTGAATATCCTGATGTAGGCTATGTTTGAACCATATTTGGTCTGATCTCTTGGAAACAGTCAGATGAGCAATATTAATTTTTCCAGATTATTTTTTTTTATTAATTGCAAATGCCAACAGTGCTAATTAAAAATTAACACAATCGTGATTTTTTCTTTGAATCAAACCAATGCTAGATCATGTTTTTTCTTTGAATCCAACCAATCTTCAAAACAAGTGCATTGAAAATCTGTAACAGATGCCATGGCACCAGTATTGTCAAATAATTTCCGAAAATAGGTCCATAAATCGGATTATAACTTCTCTAAATTTGTTTCAAGTCTAGGACTAATTGAAAAAAGATTAAAACTGTAACTAAGTAGCAGTATACCTATTTTTACTTTAAAAATTTAACTCCATGCCTAAATTTCACATTATGAAGTAAGAAAGATATGTATCGTCACTTGCCTGTGATTAACGTAGGCCTAATTAATATGAATGCAAAATTTGCACTAGATATTACATGCTACAAAAACATTCTAAACTAAAAAGAGGGAGCTAGAATAATAATACATCAAAGTATTCTTAGAAAACATGGAAACACCTTAATATGGTATGCTTGTGAAGACTCTACTCTTTAAGCTGACGCCCGGGAACACTATATGTATTTGTGTCTCGTAAGTTTAGAGAAAGGAAGCCATATTTAAAATAATTAAACTGATTTCAAAATTTTCGACCATTGTTAACCACTGTCTCATTATAAAAAAAAAAAAAAAAATTGGCGAATTCTGTATACGAATTCAGACCAATGATATTTCACTTTTCTGAAGTCATACCAAGTGTGTAAGAGAAATTAATATGCTTTAAATTCTATATTAAGCAAACTTGACATCTCTAAATTAATACGGGATGTATATTAACTTGACGCCCCCTTTTTATTATTGAAATAAGATATTTTACATAATGCAATTGCATATTGAAAAGCTCTCTACAGATTGACACAGAGAGCTACGAATAGACGGTTAACACCTTAACAACACTGAAAGAAAAACCTAGTTGATTTAACTAGTATGCCTAGTAAAGCATTCTTCATGATTAGTAATCACTCTGTTTACTAGCTAAGATAGTGAAAAGTGGAGTAATGGTCGTAAAGATACTTAAATACCTAGTGAAAGTTACTCACAAATTCTTAGATTTACTAATATTATCTAGTAAATCTACCGAATGCCTAGTAAAACTACTTTTAAGGTAGTGATTGTATGGACAGTAAATTTACTAGTCTTCTTCGTGACTTTCACTACTTATTTTTTTTCAGTGAATGAGATGTGATACAACAAAGTATCCTCGCAATGCCTGCGGTCCTGAGTCAACACTATGCTCTGGGACCCCTGACAAATTTCGCTCTACGTATTTAGGATGTTTCTTTTGAGAAGCACCAATCAAATAAAAGCTTTCATAGATAGTAGGGATGTCAACGAGTACCCGGTTAACCGGGTACTCGATTGAACGTCCGAGTATCGAATACTAATATCGGTACTCGGTTACTCGGATGTATATTTTTGAATATTTCTGAGCTTATTTATTAATGCATTAAACAATCTTTTTTAAAACGTAAAATACTCATTGCACTTGTACATACAGTAATTAGGGTTTCCTACTCCTCTAAATGACCGTTATCGCCCGTGGCAATGTTTATACAGTAATTATCGTGACCAAGCACCTGTTACCTGGCTTTTCTCACCTTCGGCTGTCTTCTACCCTTATTTTTTAATTTCCTTTAATTATTTGTTTTCGCTGAACATCTTTCAAGGTCTGTTATGATTAAATAAATTAGATAATTTTGTCAATTCTCCGAGAAGCCGTAAATTCTCGGGAATAGAGACAGATGATATCACACGCGCGACTGTTGATATGGTTGTGTTTGATTACATGCCAATACATGTACAAATAGTGGACCGCAAAGGCTTTTAAAAAATGATGTCCATCGTTGCACCAAGCTACAAAATACCGTCCCGTGATACTATAAAATCTAGGATCGAAAAGTATACGAAAATCGTAAATCGGCTCTGTTAGAACTTGGTCAAGTTCAAGTCAAACTGTACGACTGATACATACCTTGACGTCAAATGCAACAAAGAGTTACATTACAATTACGTAGTAGATTTTTTTTTAAAAAACAAAAACACCATGAACCACTTACGATTTTACTTTTTGTGTTTATCTGATAAATAAATTGAACTTAAATAAGTGTTGTATTAAATTTCGTCGGGCACGAAGTTCTAATCAGTGTTACAACAGAAATGCATTAATTTTACGTGTAAACCTCCTATCAGAGCATGTGGTTTTATTTCTACAAGTGTTTACAATGTTTTACATTCATCAATTTACTTGTTCATATTTATTTACACTTTTACCGAGTACCCGGGTACTCGATCGGAAAAACGTCCGAGTAACCGAGTATTAAAAATTGACCGATTTGACATCCCTAAAGATAGTTATATTATAAAAACCGCAATGATTCAGTTCATACCTAAAATACACGTATTACAAGTTATTTATCATAGATTGGTTCAAGTGATTAGTTGAGCGATTGGAAAAACAAACAAGATTTGTAAAATTTCCCCAGCTCATAAATTA